TTAGCTATTGTGAATTGTGCTGCTATAAACATTGATGTGGCTATGTCTCTGTAGTATGCTATTTTTAAGTCCTTTGGGTATAGACCGAGGAGAGGAATAGCTGGGTCAAATAGTGGTTCCATTCCCAATTTTTATTCTTATTAATATACTTACTGATGTTAATGCTCCTCCTAGTCAGCATGTAGTGTTTTTTTTAATTCCTCGGTTAAATAGAGTTAAAATTTAATAGGAATTAATGACAAGTAGAACTCACATACAGGCATCCCCTTGTCTCAAACTGTCATAACTCATCTTTCTCCTAGACCATTCTTCACAAGAATTCCTCAAGTATCAGCAGACTCCACTGGGCCCCGAGTTGGTCCGTGGTGGCCTCTCCTTAGGATCTCCCAACACTGGATTCCAAACAACATGGGATTAGGAATGGGTAATATCCAGAAAGGTGGAATCAGAAAGGCCACAAGGGAATGCTAGAATAAAGTTCTAGTGCTTGACCCTTGGAGGTCAAGCACTAACCTTTTAGTTGCTGAATCACAAGGAAGTTGGAAAGAGGAGGTGGTGTTGGTTATTTGGCTCTTGTTTCCGAATAAACTCCTCATCAAATAGGATGTCTACACTTCCCATTATTACCTGAAGTGGCAATAATCTGAAGTCGATATAGACATGATCTGGAGACTTTCTCAGTTCATTACATGATCAGCTGTAGACAGCAGATATTTCTTTTTCTTCACATTTGTATATTCGAGGTTCCTTTGGATCCATGAGTAACACTACTTACTATCTATTAACATCCAAATAAGATCTTCTCCCACTTTACCCTCAAATCCATTAATTTTACAGTGTGGCCTTTCACATTCCACTTATGGTCTGAAAACAATATTTTGGTGTATCTCAATATTTTAACTGCCAGAATCCCTGGTACCTAAGTTAACTAGTTGATTGTTCACTTGTCCAGAATTTTGATTGCTGGCAATGGAATTTCATACTGGTGCAATTTGGGAACAGGAAAGTTGTCACTTAGCCATTTGTTCTGGGGAATTGGCTTAATGCAGGTTCACTAGATAAGAAAATTGAAAGATTGTGCCTTGGGAATGACTCAGGCAAGATGGAACTGGAAAATATGCCGTGAAGAAGAGAGACATCAGTTGTTACAATGGTATGGCTGTCTCAGTCCCCACTTTATCCTCAGCAAGCTTAGTCCACGCCACATAATAGATGCTGAATACATTTATAAATGAATGAATTAAGTGTAAAGCAGAACCACAGGATATGAAATGGATCTTACTGATGAGAATAGAGCCAGGATTCTTTTCTCTTCCTTTCAGTTGAATTACTTGAAAACTTTACTAAACTCACCTCCTTTTGCAATGTGAAAAAGTCATGCTCCCAACCTACTGAAAATCACAATTTATTCTCTACATAGCTGGGAATATTTTGTAAATGAGCTTTATTTTCATATATTCTCTCTCTACTCCCTCTATTCCTCCCTCTCCCTCTCCCTCTCCCTCTCAGTTCTCAATTTTTAAATTACTCAATAATAGTGCTTTCTTAAGATATATATATATATACAAAAAATACATCAATAGGGTTCCTGGAGAAGCATGTCCCTTTCAGTGAAAATGACTCATGTAGGTACCATTGCTTAAATAATGCCATCTAAGATCAAGTCATCTCTTCTTGACAGCTGTATCATGTCAATCTTGCTTTCAGGCAAAATTCTCATGTTCCTATGTCATGTGTCTCCACATTCTGTATCTTGCAATTCATTTTTGGATAAAAAGCACAAGATCATACATCTATCAAATTTCATCTTGTTACAACTGGACAATTGTTCTAGAAAGGCAAGACCCTCCCTTTGGATTTTATGTCATTATTCATGACATTCACTATTTCTTCCATTACAATGCCATGCATAAAGTTGATATATCTATCTATAATACATAGTTAAAGGAAGCAAGGATTTTAAAGGTGAGACTATATTATTTATGCAACTCTACACTCTGTGCAGAAATGATTTCTCTAGTATTTGAATACTAGGATTGGACGAGGTAATACATTCTACATCTCCTTTCATTCAGTGGGTTTCTTGTTCTTAATAGACTTCACTTTTCATTTTTAAACATAAAACAAATCTCTGGTCAATTCTCCTCTTCTGGAGGCAGTGGAACACTATCAAAGCATTGGGGTTTTCTGGACAAAGGAAGCTAATCACTATCTCAGTTACAGGTCTGGGAACAAATAGGACAGCAACATGCCATTGTGTGGAACTTATTCTACTTGCTAAATAACAACCCATATTATTTAACTTGATGAACTGTGCTACAAAACCAACAATAGGCAATGGTGGTGCTTACAGAAAATAAGTACCCTTGAGGACAATAAATATACAGTTATGTCTTATTCATATAAGAATTTTCAAGATACCCTATGATTACAAAGGTTACTCCATGCTTCTCAGGGATGAGTTGGCTTATGCAATTCTTTATTATACTCTCTTGCTTATTCTTTTGTACTTGGTAATAAATATAATTCTCTTTAGCAAATGTTCTTTATTCCTTGTTGAACCTGAACAAAAATATGCAAAACCATATGTCAGGTCTAGACCGTGCTCCTCCTTAAAATATCATTTGAAAATTTTCTTTTATCCAAATATATTAAACTGGTAGAATTTCTATTTCATATAAATGATTTAAAATACTAATTTTATCCTATTTCTAGGAATATTATCATATGCAGAGCAGGCTTGGAGATTTTCCTTAAAAATAAATCAGCTAATCAAAATAACTTCTGGCTTTCACCTGAAGTATTTTCCAAAAGCAGAATTTGGGTTGGTAGTGGAAATATAAATTTTTTGATGCTGTTTGAATAATTTAGCAATAAAGTTAATAGATGAAAAGATCTTCTGCCTTTCCAGGAAATGTGCCTATAAGAAATAACTCACAAAATATTTTGGAAAATTGGGAAAAACTGAGTGAAAGAGACAAGATACCTCCCTTTAGTATCGTTTCAACTTCTTGTGAGTCTATGCATTTCAATGTTTTTAAAAAATGATACTAAGGATTGAACCCCCTCTTATAGTCATTGAGCCACATCCCATCCTCATCCTAAAAATATATTTTTAAATTCTATTTAAAAAATCCACTGGATGCTTATCTGTTACAGTAGCAGGTTAGAAACAAAGCAAATATGTGAAAAGAGGAAGCTGTTGAATAAAGTACATAAGTATAAAAACTGATAATTATATGATAAAAAATATAATTGAGAACACTGGAAACATGCAAAATGTTTCAATAAAGCAAATTTAATGTGTAGAATATAATATTTTGTGCAGTAACAGTCCAGGGGTGTGAATACTATGTGTATATTGGCAAAAAGAATAGGAAAATTTAAAGAGGGTAAACAAGTGAATTATGATAGAGATTAAGTTTTATATTTTTGAAAAAAATTAATATCAACAGTACATTGCTTTGGGGGGATCAATGTCAAAAACATAGAACATTAATTTTCATTGGTACCTATTCTTAGTTTTTTAGCTCAGTAATTTATTTTAAGAATAAATGACTCTCTAGAGACTTCAGCAGCTCTGGAGATTACTGACTGTGGCTGGTGTCATCATGGTTTTCCTTCTTTTTTTTTTT